GGGTTCCTCCCTTAAGGCCTGGCCTCACACCACTCCTAGGCCTTTTCCCTGTGGTAACTGCCACAGAAAATTAGTCTCCAGTGGGACCTTGTCTGGAAATTTTAGCTGTTGCTCATGTAAACCGCATAAGCTGGGTAGTACTTGGTTCAGGCTTGTGGGTCTGGCAGAGGATAAGCAGGCTCTGCCCCTGTTTAAAGAAAAAGAAAGTAACTGTAGAGAGAACAGAGAGAGGAAGGAGCGTTGTCTTTGTACTGTTGCTGGAGAATAAACTTGTATATTTATCCTTTAACCCTTTGATTAAGGGCATTGTGAGACAGTTCATATTCTTATGGGCCTTAGTAAGCAACTGCTGCTGTTTGAAGGACCAGAAGAGAGCAAGTCATCTCTGCAATACTGAAGGCAAGATTTGCAGTTTGGAGCACAGGCTTCTTCAATCAAGAAGGACTTCAATATTTTTCCCCCTGAGAGTTATATAGACACTTTGCATTTAAGTGCTTTTTGAAATGGGAAAATATGTGAACCTGAATATGTGTTATGTCTAATGTTGTTATTTTCCTTGGTAAATATAAAGAAAACAAGATATATCATTTTAATTATTATATTCTTGCAACATACTGGGTGGTCCTCTGAGTGAATGCAAATATGTATGAGTCAGTAGGTAATTGAATGACAAGCAGAGAGTACAAAGTGAGAGCCTCTGGCTGTTAATTGACAGTAGCCTAACCAGAGGAACTTACCATTACAAAACTCTATTCTACAAGTCATTTAAAACTCATCAAGCCAAAGAACTGATTCCTGGAACCTGAAAGACACAGCCATTGAGTCAATCAAGCCAAGGGAGGAACACAAAACTGCATCATCAGGTGGAACCCCCAGTAACTGTGACTGACAGCTGTCATGCACTATTCAAGACCCATGTGGGGCAGTGACCTCCAGATTGGTCAGCCAAAATAATGCTGGGGAACCACAGAAGTCTGCCAGAGAGGGATAAAAGGCAGTGAAGCTTGACCATCAGTGGTGCCCTCTTTCTTCAACCAGCACCAGAATCTACCAACCAGAAGGACAAGCCAGTGACTCCCTTCTGGAAAAGACATCACCTTGGAGGAAGCTTTGACCATCCATCGATTGCAGACTGCAGTGCCTCGGCTAGGTAGATATATTAACACCAGTGCTCTCACAATCACTACAGCAGATACTATATAGGTTTGAATGAATGAGTGCATATGTGTGTGTGTGTGTGTGTGTGTGTGTGTGTGTGTGTGTGTGTAGGAAACCAATATCCGTTTTGGTTCCAATCCTGTGCAAGGTACAATAGTTGCACACCTCCGTACAATAAACTTGATATCGGAGATCCTGTGAGTTGGTTTTAATTGTTAACATGTCTATGTGAAATATGTAAGTATGATATGCAAGGCAGTAATGGAGGAAGAGGGAGAAGCAGCATGTATCACCTGATTTCATGCAGTTACAATTTTGAGGAAATGGAGGTTACATCAGACCTCTCTGAAGAGTCTATAGGTGTGACACCCACCAATTCATTGCATCAGGGTGGAAGGTTTCATGCAGAAGTATACAATAGAGAAGGTCCTGAAGGTTCATAAGAAATTGAAGAAAGGAGTAATGGAGAGAGACCGGATGGTGCCATGGGAAACTTCACACAAGGACAATTGAAGAAAGTATGGAGAGCAGTGATGAGTAAACAACTAAAAGGGGAACATACTGACCTAGCATGAATGGTAGTGAGAAATATCTTACCAGTAAGAGAGGTGCAACACTGATGGGACTTGACAAGCATATCAACATGCCCAAGGGAGAGGTGCAAGGAAGAAGAAATGGTTGGAACATGTGTTATGGAGGTGTACATACGGGAA